GGCGGGCCGGGGAGGCAGGGCCCGGCCTGAGGAGGCCGCCCGGGCCCAGCAGGCGGGGTAGGGGGCTGGTGGCCGGGCGAGCAGCGGACAGCGGGCACTGGCCAGTCTCCGGTCCTTTAATGGGCTTTGACTCTGTCTGGCTGTAGAGGGCATTAGTTATTTAGAAACTATCAAGAAGAAATAAGGCTTTCCCATTGCGGGAGGTAATGGAAGGCCTCTGGATACACTCCGTACCCGCTGTGACTCGTCCCCAGCCCTTGCGGGGGAATGGATCATTTAGCTGAAAAGGTTTCAACCGGGGAATTTTAAAACAGGCTTTTAAACTCCATTACGGTTTTATTTTATGATAATGGTCCATTGTATATGCGAGTTCTTTAATCTTCAGAAATGGTCTTGCAGCCATTACAGCAGCCTATTGAATGTTTTTTAAATTGGCTGAAATTTTGGAGTGTGGGCCTTAGATCAGAGTCTAGAAGGGATACCTCGGGAGGGATCACTGAACAAAATGTGTTGCATGTTAGGATGAAATTATACCCTTAATCATTTCTGGGATGGAATGCGTCAGATTTGTGGCATTTTCCCCAGATTACTGTAGTTTAGAGGAGAAAATGTATAGAAATATACAGTGATTGATATATAATGCCACCTCACAGAAACAAGTGGTATTACTGGTGGCATTTTTGAATTTTGAGTTGGTGTAAAAACCTGGTTCTTCCCCAAGGACCTTTAGAGTCACCTCCTTTACAAAAGGAAGTTCAAAATCTTTCTGTATTTTGCATGCCTCCTGTGAAAGGCTGGTGGGTTGAATGCCTTGTGGGGATCTCAACAGCTAGTGGATTTGGTGTCCCTACTCGTGTGCTCCTTGGTCTCATTGCTGTGGCACCGTATTTTCATGTTTGGTATTTCCCTTGTAAATTATCAGCCTGACAAGAGTAGACTGCCAGCAAGTTTGCTTTCCTTCATGACCATAGCCAGTTTTGAATGAGGGACAGCAGAAGAAGAGTGTTTTAAATCACCACTGATTTGGGCCATCAGCAGGTATTCTTACATTTGCATCTGCTTGCTTTCCCCATTCTCTTTCAGTTTCAGTTGATACTGTTTTGGCATGCTAGAACGACGATTAAATGGAGGGTAGGAGTCAGTTTAATAGGCAAAGTTTCTTCAAGACAAATAGCTAGGAAATGTCCAGGACATTTTCAACGTAACATTTTCCATGTTCCTGATGTGTAACTGTCATCTTGCAGAAATAGGTGTTATTTGTCCAGGTAATCCCCATCTTCTGTCAAACCCAGTTTAGGGTTCCAAAATCAAATACTACATGAATGTAAAGTGTATACAGACAAATGCCTGCAAGTTCATAATAATTTCATCCTCACGTGTATGTATACAAATCCATGGAAAAGAGGACGTAATCCTGTCCAGTTTGTTGATAATTGTGCATATAAAAGAATAAGAACCACAGAGCAAGAGTATATTGGTAACTTGAAGCTGAGATTATTTAAGAGTATATCGCATCATTAAAAGGTACAGAGTTGGAGAAAAAATCAGCCATGCTTGTCTGTCCATGACTGATGCTAAGATAAGGTTTATACAGCTAATTATCTTGTCTAAATAATGGCTAGTTTTATTGTCACATTTTATTTTTCCAGCAGATGAGGATTTATTAGGTGATGGAAATTCTATTAACAGGAAATTAGTCCAATTTGGCTTTGCAAAAGACAGCATGGGCCAAGTCCAGGCTTACAAGCATCATTTGTTAAATCATTCTGTAGCATTTTTGTATAGGGAGGGTAAGTTCTGAAGTTTGCAAGCATCCTTCTTTGCATATTGATTTTATTCCTCAAACAAATCTTTATAATACTTGGGGGTAGCTAAAGAGGGCTCCAGGATGGTCATGTTGAAAGATTTTGTGTGTGCTTTCAGTGTTTCAGTTTCTTCGTAAAAAAAGACAGATACAATACGGATGTGAGCTGGACATGGGGCATCTGTGCAACACTTTGCTTTCTTTTTGTCAGTGATGAAACTAGCGTGGAAGTGACCTCTCAGGCTGGAGCTCTGCATTCCAGAAATGTTGCTCAGCTTAGCACAGGCCAGTGTTGGGAGCCTGCTTGTTCACACGATGGTAATGTGCATGCACTAAGCACCCATATGGCTCTGGCATGCTGTTCAGACAAATTGAGCTGCTGCTGTAGATTTGCCTGATAAGTGATTGGATATTTGCTTTCATCAGCTCCTGATCAATAGCAACTATACTTAACCCTAGACAATATTAGAACCCTTCAGCATTTGTGCAAAACAACTGCTATTTGGTTTTATCTACAACCTGTCTACTTAATCCAATAAAGTAAGATTAGTAAATTTGACGGATTGAAAAGCAAATTTCTATGAGGGCAGAGCCGTAGTCGCAGTCCTGTGAAGCTGAAGTTGCAGCATGCTTTAGTCCAGGTTAAATGCAGCAGGTCTGACTGCCCTCCTTGCTAGTGATGCTGTCCTGCAGCTGTGGGCTTCGGAAGCGCAGGGAAGTCAAGCTGCATCATCCGTACTGTGGGACCATGACGCTGCCTGACAGTATCTCACCCTCCCTCCAGGGTAGCCATCTCAGGCTGCTTTGTGACCATACAAGATCAGAGCGTGGCTGGGGCCTGGATGGAGACTGGCATAATTTTATAAATCGGGACTAGCTCTTTGAGTCTTTTTGTAGCTGGCATTACGGTATGGCCGTAGTATCATTCTACGTAGGTGAATAAATTGGCAGTCAGAACTCTTGCTTTCCTTAGGTTATCTATAAAAACATTCATCCAGGCTTATGCTAACTCTGGAAACAGCAAGCTCTTGCTTCAGTAGTAGTACTGGTCAATGAAAATTTGCTCCTGAATTCCAAAGATAGTGTTGCGTATAATTATTTAAAATTGTGAAGGAATTAAGACACTGCTAGTTTATTTCTTTTTGTGAAATCTTGAAGCTTCAGTACTTAATATTCTTTAAGGTCCCTTCCAACCTAGAAGATTCTGTGATTCTGTGGTATTGTCTTACTCATTCCCCTTTAGTTGATGTTTTGGTAGGAGTTGTCCACTGGATTCGAATTAGCCAGAGGATCAACAAAGTGGGTGTAAAGGAGTGAGCCAGAGCCATTGTATACACATAGATGGGGGAATAAAACACATGGAAATCTAGGCTTTATTAATTCTGCTGTTCACAGAACAATTTGGGGACATTTTCCTTGTTTTGAAGGCACAAAATTTGGCTTGATAGGCTGGCAACAAAACATTCATTTAAAAACTTGCCAGAATGCAGGCTATTTGCTTTGGCATTTTTATCTTGCATCTGATCAGACCGACATACGGCAGTTTTTTATGCCAAAACCACATCCGTTCTGGGCACCTATTTACGGTGGACGTAAGAATTTCTGAGTGTGACTGACACTATTTACTGTCATCGAGATTTGCATTTTTCCAAGAGGTTCCAAGCTTATTTTTGTATTTATTATGTAAAATCCCAGAGAGTTAAGATTTCCTCCTGGATCAATGAAACAAATGCAGCAGCTGCCAAGGCGTGTGAGCAGTGGCGGTGAGCGCCGTGCCAGTCACCTGCCGCCGTGCAGTGACAGCAAGCGTGGCGCTCCCCTCCTGCAACTGAGCCTTACCCACACCAAACCTGTTCTGTCCCAAACTGAACAGTAAACCCAAAGCCTCTTTGTTGCAGAATACTCTGTTTTAGACAACGTTATTTTTACAGGGTCAAATAAAAAAGAAAAAAAAACGATTCTTTCCTAGCATCTGGAATTTGTTAATTCAGGCTATAGTTTTCAAAGGGGGGTATCTTTTCTTTGTATTTGCTGTGTTGAAACTTCTGGAAACATGTCAAGATACCCTCGCTAGAGCTCTCTGGAGAAAAAAAAAAGGTGTCTTTGACAGTGCAGTAAGGCTGGCAAGGCAGTGTCACAGCACCCATTTGATTTTTCTTGTGGTTGTTGCTTAGAAACATAGCAGTTAAGTAGCATTAAGTTTAGAGTCCACTGCAGTGTTTTGTTCTTTCCTAGCAGTTATGCTGGCTAAACTGTCTAAAACAGATCTGTGTAATATTAGTACGGAGAGATTCGGTGAGTGCATTAGGCTCTTTTCTTACTGAGCATCCTAAAACATGTTTGTCAGTAGCAACGTAGTCCTGCTCCCATTGAAGTTGTTTAAACTTGTGCCATTACGTTGTGTGTTTGTGGTTAGTTGTAGTTAGTAGAACTACAGGTAAGTTGTGCCTGAACAGAAACTGAACAGAAGCAGTTTGGCTTTATGTAAAAGGGACTTGATATTCCTGGTGTGAATTCTGATGTCAAGTGTCACATGTGCCGATAGTCTCCGTGCAGACTCCTTTTTGCTTCTGGTTTTTGCCTTTAAGCCCTAAAATGCCTTGTAAAGGTCCCATTAAGACAGAAATTTGGAGGAAGCACTGCTATTATTAGTGTTATTATGAATAGGTGACTCTAAGACTCCCATATGGAACCCTTCAACAATACTAAATTTACTTAAACTCTCCCAAAGAAATCACAAACCCATCAACATCTTTCATAAATCAGTTTGCTGTTGCAGGAGGGACTCAGGGCAACGTGCATGCTTTTAATGTTACCAAGTTAAATCGTTTTGGCTGTAGCTTCTTATTCACTGCAAAAGCATTATATTAATATTCTGATTAGGTACAGATTAGTTTTTTGATGGAATAATTTTGAGTAAGTAGAATACATCAAGCACTGCACCAAGATTACTGAGGTTCAAAGCACAGCACTTTGCATTTTGTTAATATCGTGTAATTCTAACTGGCATCTGTGCAGTTGAAACAGCGTAATGCATTTATGTCAGCATTTGCGTTAGGGAATTTAAATGGGGCATTTCAGCAAGAAAACCTAGGGTATGTTTTTAAAATGGAACTATGCCTTTTGAGCTATGTGGTGTTTCTGGCCTGCTGCATAGTAAACAATTTTTATGATGAATGTGTTGATACTGTGAACATAAAAACCATGGGAAAATGGTTTGATTGTGTGTATTTTAGGACTGCGATTGAATTACCACATTTATCTTAACATTAAATTTCATGAGCTCTAACTTACCACAAAACAATTTTATTTTTGCCTTAACAGGACAATGGTGCTTTGTTTTCTGAGCGTAACACTGCAACTAGCAAGACATTCATGCAGTCCACTGGGGAGACAACTCTGTTCAGCCAGTGCAAATAAGCCAGTGTTGACTTTATTCACCAAGGTAAAAGTTGTTTACAGAATAAAGCTAGGCAAGACTGCATATTTATCAGCTTTGATATACATGAATCCCAGATTAAATGGCTTGGCCATGCCTGTCCCCTTTAAATTTGTGCAATATTGAGCATTTTACTTTGAGGGTGCCTTTCACATGAGGCTTTACAGCACAGTCCTACTCTCATTGTAGCAAGCAAGTAGTTATATCCAACAAATGAAGATTTCAAAATAGTTGTGTCTCAGTGATGCTATGGTCCATTTACTAGTTGAAAATTGTTCTCTAACTGCCAGTGTTTCTTCCTGGAAATGGAGAACAATGATGTACATAATCTGCCCAGGACAAGCATGAACAGCCAAAGTAGGCTCTTCAAAGCACTCCTGCTGAATTTCAGAGAGAGTGAAAATATATCCAAGTAGTGTTGGTAGCGCACAAGGAAAAAGTAGATTGTGCTTTACCTCTTTTTGCTTTACTGGCTGTGTAATGATAACAGAAATAAAACACAGGCAAAGTTTTGTCTGTGGCATGAGCAGATAGTATTCATAAGCATATTTAGAAAACAGACATGATGAGCAGGAATGGTCATTTGTGAACTGTCACCTTCCATGAACTGTCATTAAGAACATGTGTTATGTGCAGCGGAGGTCTTCTGCACTCTTAGACAGGATAGCACACAGCGGGCTATGCTGCATTTATATGATTGATGTAGCCTTCAAGAGGACAATAACTAGAAATGCAAAACACTGGGAATGTTGACATCATTATAGTGGTATTTGTTGGAGGTGGATACGATTAAAATAATTTCCTCCTCCTGCACAATGTTTGTTCATTCTATCCCTGGCCATAAAGGAGGGTCTAAACTGTGTAACACATGAATAGGTTAAAAAATAAAAGGTCACCATCTGTTTATTAATTAGAGCAATGCATGCTATTGAAGTTACATCTCTCTCTCCCCCTGCTTCATTCAGCATCAACTCTTTCATAATCCAAATGTGATAAGGTAGGGAATAATGAGCTTGCCTTTGGGTTAATAATTGGAAAAAAGCTCGTCGTATGATTCTTGTGTCTTAAAATTTCTAACTAATAAGACACTATATGAAACTAATTTTTCTAATCGCAGAGTTCAAGTTGTTCTCTGAAGTAGCCTCTTGTTGAATGTGGTTTTAACTTAAAATATTTTTCATGTCTGATACCATTGGCAATTGCAAGGCAAAATGCAGACTACTTTAAAATAAATCTAATCTGCAGTCTTAGTTTATGCTAATTAACTTATTTTACCTCATTCCTATTTTTAAGAATAAGGAGAAAAGAGGAGGAGAAGGCAGGAGGGAGCTATGACTTTTGCAGCCACTTCAAACTGATAGAAGCTAGCATTGCCAAATGTTTTCCCCCTCGTAGGCTCCTTTTATGCCAACACAAGCATTTGTGCAACAACTGCTCTAGCTTAAAAAAAAAGCTTTTTTTTTTTTGCAAGGTTTCTATTAACTGAGATGAGTTCACCTGTCTAGCTCTACTGTGCAGCTGTTTGACTGCTTATGCCAGCAGAAAAGAAGCAGTGACAGGAAGATGGGTGTCCTTCCTTCAGCATCAGTGCCACCTTAAAATGACCACAAACCTTCAGTCTAAGTTTGCGGCATGAGTGGCAACTATCTGTAGAAAAAAACCTGTCCCTTCCACCACATGACAGATCTAGCTGTCAGCACGACATATGTCACTGTGGAAAGGGATTTTTACTACCTCAGCAGTAGGAGTCCCTTTTGCCACTGTAATATACATCTGAGAGAGAAGGTTGTTCGAGACAGCTTTATCCAGGCAGCCCAATTACAAATTAACATAAAGCAAGTGATGGCAGAGACCTACTGTTGCCCTGTTCTACTGAAAAATATGTACTAATATAAATGGACTTTTAAAACAGATTTCACTGTTAGCTGAAATAGTTCGCTACCTGATTTTAAACCAGTTCCAACCTTGTAAGTACCACATAGTGTTTAAGCTTGCCATCAGAGTAGGAGTGAAAACATACTCTTTGCTAAGAGTAAACCTGGTTTATCAAATGCTTTTATGTGACAAAGCTCTCAAATAATGTCATGTTAGAAAGCTCTCCACAGCTTAGGTGAACCAAATATGTCCGACTTTAACTGTAAGGGGCCTGGTATGTTACAAAACTGATGTACAGGATTCTGGGATATTCCTTTCAGTCACCAATATCGGGTATATCAGTCCCTCCAAAAGCAACAACAATTGGCAAGAACACAGCACTGTTGACCTTTGGCATCTTGCCAAAGGGTTTCAGAGTATAAGGACTTGTCTATGTGTGAAGGACAATTTAGATTAGGTGTGACTTAAAAGTAGAGTATTTAGTCCGATTTAATTCACGTGCAGGAAATGAGAAGTAGCTGTTTCCAATCATATCCATGTTTAAACAAGCCCTAGGAAGATTTTAAGTGGGAGGGAGAGGAGAAAATCTTTTCCAAGTGTGAGAGGTGTTTCGTGGCAGAGGGACAGAGCCATCACCTTCACCACTATATACTTGCTATGTGAATTATAGCCAAAGTCTGCCATTGCAAACACTGAAGCAGTGTGCCTTCATGTGAGTCGCTTCTTCAGGTACGCACTGCTCTAATGATCACGATGCATGATCAGCAGAAGTCAGCTGTATAACTGTAGTGGAAAACATGTGAGTTTTCAAAAATTACAGGTTTTCTTTGACCCCATCACAGGTCAAAGCTGTTTGCCAGTTCTCGCTGCTGGAAGTTAGTGTCCTAGCTCTGCAGGTTGGAGGATCATGCTTAATTGCCTTCAGGCAAAGTCAGACAAGTCATCTTACAGCACCTTCATTTGCTATTTGAACTGACCCAAGTGATTTGGTCTGAAATACATTACTCATGTGACTTCCTCATTCCCCTTCTATCAATTCTATCAAATTCTTCTATCAATAGTGGTAGCTGCCGTTGTTTCCAGCTGGTGGTGGCAAGCTTTGAATATTCATTGCTGCTGACCAAAAGAAGGGGTCTGTGCATGACCTTCCAAGCCATGCCCTTGAGCCAGCCTTTAGAAGAGCAGTTGAAAACTGTTAATTTGCACCATGAGAAAAATAATAGCAAATGAGAAATAATTAATTTCTGTGGCTGAGTAGTTTATTTTCTTTTCATCCACGCTACACTGATAAAGATTTAGATAGCAGTAAGACAGGGTGGTACGGGAATTCACATTTACAGTAACAATCGCTCCTCTGTATGTTACTTTGCAAATAATCTGTGTGTTTTACTGTATGCATTAAGCTGGTCTGAATATTTTTCTTTAGAAACCGTGCCCACTATGTGACGAAGCAAAAGAAGTCCTTGAGCCATATAAGGGAAGGGTAATGTATTGCAATACTGTATACGTTTTCTATATAGAAAGAACAGTTAATCAGGATTCTTTCTTTGTAAAAGAAAATTGCTTGGATTTATTTGCATCCGTTATTCTTTCATGGGTGACCTCTTCAAAACAATTTCAGCCCTGATTTCCATAAAACTCATTATCCAAAAGCATTTTGCGACAATGCTACTCAAATAAGTATTGGCAAACTAAACCAATATACACCTTGTCGCAGTAGTTTTTAAAACCACTGCTTTTGTAAATACCACTGCCTTGACTGATAGAGGAGTTTGCAACTTTTATGAGCCATGTAGTGGTATCATCTGGGAAGGGTGTTAGTAAGTGGGGCTTCAAGTATTTGAACTATGTGTGATCGCAGGGTTTGCTGTTCTTCAGCCAGGTTTTGATCTGTTTCCTGAAGGATGAAACTTAACAGAAGCATTAAGAGGTGTTGCACTCTGCTGCCTAACAGGCAGTTGTTGTGTTGCCAGCTGGATGTTTGTTGTGGTTGGTCCTCACAGGGGAGTGGTTCTGCACAGAGGATCAAGAATATTGTCCTGGACTGGAGAGAGTCCACTGTGGACATGCAGCCAACAATTGTGGCCACATACATTTGGTACCCACAAAACGGGCAATTGTTTGCAACACGAAAGAATCAATCCAAAAGTACCAAGAAAACAGGATTGCATTTCTGAAAAAAATACTGCTCAAAAGACAAGCAGCTATTGGTTTTCAGTGTCTACTAGGTACTAACATATTTTCTTTCTGTTAGTTTATTTTGCAGGAGGTGGATATTACCCTTCCAGAGAACTCAGCATGGTATGATAAATACAAATACGACATACCTGTTTTTCATTTAAATGGGAAGTTCCTCATGAAGCATCATGTAGACGTTCAGAAGTTTGAGGACAAGCTTACGAAGCTGGAGTTGCAAAATGATGGAAACCAGTGAAGAAAACGCAGCTGCTCTGGTATGGATCTGAAAAGACTGTGCATCATAAATTGTGGGAAAAAAAGCAGTATTCGTTATCTGGCCTTATGTTTCTTAGAACGTATGGTACCAGTGTCCTAAAAAAACTTGAGTGAATTGTATTCTATTTTGTGTTGATCATCCAGCCTGGCTACACCGGTAGCAACCTTTTCTGTACCATTCCTTTGGTGCTATCCTAGGCTGGCTTTTATTGACAGAATAAATGCTGGTCCATAACAGCAGATAAAGTGAAATGTGTTTGCATTGGGTTTGCATGGTGAGGTTTTGGTAGTGGGGAGCACTACAGGAACGGGTTCTGTGAGAAGGTGGTAGAAGCTACCCCCACGTCTGATAGAGCCAACACCAAGACAGACCCACTGCTGGCCAAAGCTGAGCCAGTCATTGATGGTGGTAGTGCCTCTACAATAACATAAGTAGGTGGAGGGGAAACCTGAGCAATCGCAGCTGGATAGAGGAGTGAGAGTATGTGAGAGCAACAGCTCTGCAGACACCAAGGACAGTGAAGAAGGAGGGGGAGGGGGTTCTACACGTGCTGGAGCAGAGATTCCCCTGCAGCCCTTTGTGAAGACCACGGTGGGGCAGGCTGGCCACCTGCAGCCTGTGGAGGTTACTGGAGGAGCAGATGTCCACCTTCAGCCTGTAGAGCACCCCATGCCAGAGCAGGTGGATGTGTGCGGAGGAGGCTGTGACCCTGTGTGAAGCCTGTGCTGGAGCAGGTTTGCTGGCAGGACCTGTGACCCCGTGGGGGACCCACACTGGAACAGTCTTTGTTCCTGAAGGACTGCACCACGTGCAAAGGATCCACGCTGGAACAGTCCATGAAGAACTGCATCCATAGGAAGAACTTGCATTGGAGAAGTTTGTGAAGGACTGTCTCTGGTGGCAGGGACCCCATGCTGGAGCCAGGGAAGAGTGTGAGGAATCCTTCCCCTGAGTAGGAAACAGCTGTGGACACAACGTATGATGAACTGACCACAACCCATATTCCCTGTCCCCAGGTGCAGCTGGGAGGGATGGAGATAGAGAAAATCAGGAGTAAAGGTAAGTCCATGAAGAAGGAATGGGTGGGAGGAAGGTGTTTTTAAGATTAGTTTTACTTCTCATTATCCTCATCAAGATTGGTGATAAAATCAACTAATTTCCCCAGGTTGAGTCTGTTTTACCCATGAGGGTAGTTGGTGGGTGATCTCTCCCTGTCCTAACCCACGAGCCTTTCATTATATTTTCTCTCCCCTGTCCAGGTGAGGAGGGGAGTGATAGAGCAGCTGTGGTGGGCACCTGGTACCCAGCCAGGGTCAACCCACCAGTGTTCCAAGATTGTTAGTACGTAAGCTGTAGGTCCGTAAGAAACTTCTTTGATGAAGTCTAGGAGTCTATCCTAAGTGCTCATTTGAAATGGAGAAAAGGGAATTTACTGCCGATGAAAAGGACGCTTGATTAAAGACAGCAGACTCTCACTGAAGCAGAGTCACGTCTATAGAACAATGATGACAATTTGATACAGCTGTTAATAACACACAAACACGGAATAGCTTATTTTTCTTCTAGTGGGTTGAACATACACTGCGGTTAAGTCTGTGTTGTCTGCTACAGCAAGCTTTGAGCTCCTTGGTACTTGAGTTACTCCCAGACACAAGAAAAAAGAAAAATAGAGTGAACTATAATTGAGCCAAAAGAACCAAATATGTAATGAAAACAGCATTTGTTAGCTCCAAATACATCTCTTTGAGTGCTACAAATTTCAGAGTGTAAAATGACAGTAAGAAACTCTTAAGAGTGTCATTACAAATTTCCTGGCCTAAGATACAGGACTTCTGCCTTAGACTCCAGTTATGCTCTTTAAAAAATCCATGCTAATGTATGATCTTTTCCCCTGCTTAGGGATGCTTATGGCATAATGCTCCATCATTCCAAATCCAGTGAACAAAGAAAACATGTTTCTCTGATATTAGGGGAACAGTGCTTGGTCCTATGGATTAGAGTTCTGTTGTAATTGAGTCCAGTCATTATGCTTTCTGATAGAAAGGAATCACATTTCAGTTCTGTCTGCAACACAACTACAAATCCATTTATCATGTGGCAAGAATAGCATTTTATCACAAGGGTTACTGCACTTCTGTTAGTGCATCATTGGCAATGTAGGGATGTGAGGTAGACAGACAGAATGCCTAAATTAAACATAGTTTCAGAAGGAAAGACAGATTAAGGAAAAGTAAACTGGTTTAAGTTGAATAGTCTCTTGCAAGCCCTGGAGAAAGTTGTTGGTATTTTTGATCTGCTTAATAGATTCTTTAACACAGAAACTAACCCCTACTTCCTGCATGTCTGTTCTTTCTACTGTGATGATACTCAGTCTTCTCTCATCACTAGGAATAGGGACACTTGACAGATGTGTCTTCACACATCTGGGGGGGGAGAATCCAGACACTATACCCAATTAGAACAGCAAACTGAAATTCATTAGGATTCATTACAGACTTTGGCTTTTGGAGTATGGTTCAATAAAAATCCAGCTGATCGGCCATGGTGAAAGTGGGCAGTTCTTATATGGCTCCGTTTTACAGTGTCTTTGGCATTTGACAGATCATTTGCAACTCAGTTCTGATGTGTTCTGCAAGCTGAAAAAATTCTGGGCAGTGGGGGGCAAGAAATTAAAGCTTCCTTCTGGTTTAGCAACTCAGGAAGGGGCCTGGAAGTATCCAAGAGTTCCCAGGAAGGAGAGCTGTGCCCTTTTTATAGCAGAGCTTTAGGTAAGTTCAGCCATGTTATCTGACTATACCCTGCAATTTATAGGACTTCAGAAACTTCCATCTCACAGCACTTAACCCTCCTCAAGAGGTCTGCAGAGAGAGAGTGGCATCAAACGGGATTGATGTACTAGTTTTGCAAGAAGCTTAAAAGTTTAAGCATCTCCTTAAAACTGTTTAAAGCTTTTCATAAGCAATTCTGTAACTGTTTGATCCAAAACTGAAATCACAGCCAACTGTTGCTTCTGAAGGAAAATATCCTGACTTTAAGTAACTCGTTTATTCTTTTTGTTCTTTTTGTAGCCTTACTGTACTTTTATGCCTGCTGCCTTACCTGATGTGGTCGTTTACATCGTAGAGGAAGAGTAAATTGAGGAGATTGTTAAAAAAAAAAAACCAAGCTGAAACTTCTCAGGAGTAAGTGAGTGAAATTGAGTAACCCAGCAAAGTGTGATGCTTTCCCCAACATGAGGAAAAAAAAAAAGGCAAAACTTGAAATAGCAATATGCTTCTTGAATTGTATGTTGCAGCATAGGTTTGCCCTGTCTACAGTTCTTTTCATCACCATTGACAGAAGAACAGGACCCTAGAGACAAAACCTTCTATTTTCTGCAGTTCATAATGCTACAGTCAAACTTCTAAGTGTACCACAAGTTACTGTTAAATAATAGGTCTGAATTACCTCTGTATCAGCAAGCGTCATTTGCTTTCCTTCTATAATCTGACATGGTTGCAAAGGGCCCAGGCTTTTCCTTAGTGAGGCTTTGTAATAAGAGAACTGGCATATAGCACTTTTCAACCATAGTTCAAGCACTTTTCTAAAATATAGCATTATTATCTCAAAGATATGGAGGACAGAGGTCATGTGGGCTTGCCCCATTTCCCAATATATATCACTGACAGAGGCTGGAACAGCCATCAGAGAGCAATTTGCCTTTGTTTTATTTTTAATAAGGTCTGTTTTGGGAAGGAAAAAAAAAGGAAGCTAAAAGCAAACTTCTTAATCATATAGGAGATGATGAATCCCTTTTTCCTTATTCGCTAAGTCTGTGGAGGTTTTCTTCTGTAGGCAGTGCCAGATTTTTTTCCCCCCTTTATTTTTTAAAGCGAATGATAACAGGATTTTTATAATAGCTTTTGTCTTTATTAGTAAGATGGAGGTTTTCCATTCGTTCTGGCTGTGGGTGCTAGCATATAATGTACGGGGAAGGGCTGGCTGCTTCTTCCAGCTCTTCTGGTGTATAATCAAACACAGCCCGGCATTGTGCATCCCTCAATCCTATTTTCTTGTCAACACAGGTAGTAGATTCAGATGCATGAGAAAGGTCCATGTAGACCCATGTGCTAGCAACAGGCGTGGACTCCAGGGTGAATGTTCTGTGCTGTGGAAAGATCACTGCCAGCCGCTCTTCTCCAAATGCCACCCCTGTCCTTCCAAAGCCAAAACATAAGATATACTTTCCAATGGTGTCCAAGAAGATGTCACTGTTCTACTGTTTCAGAAGCCCTAGTCTAGTCAGTTTGGACACAAAAACAGGAGGTGGAAACATGTCAATTGGAGCATTGGTAGCACACCTCACAGAAGCCATGCACCAGTTGTTTCCAGATAAAGCACCACATGGACAAGGTGATGTGCAAGAGGCTGATGGTTCATTTTGCACTGTAGGTGCTACTGCAGGATTCGTATTGCAAAATTAGGTTGTGTCATGGTTGGATGTTATTCCCTTCTCTGTTACCTTCTCTGAGGAACACAAAATATGAAGGAAAAACTCTGGGAGGCCACCTTCTCTTCTGAAGATGTCAGCTCTGCTCAGTGGAATAAGGTGGCACTCAATAACTATCTTCACATGTGAACGCTAAGAGTTCACATCTTCTAAGTAGTGGATCAGACACAGAAGTGTTTCAGCATTCCATTTCCCTGCCATTATCAGTCCTAAAAATAGTCATGTGAATTCATGATCCCACAGGCAAAATAATTTGTTAATCCCAATGGGACCAGAATTTTATCTCAAATAGTTAACTGCTTTCCATTTCCTTTGACATGTGAGAAGACTGAACAAGTGCTTGTGTGACTTACCATGACTAACAGGTCTGCCACCTTCATTTTCCAAAAAACAAGAAAGGATGTATCAAACGTAAATTTGTGGGGTTTTTCTTCTTTTGGAATACAGGAAATGCTGCAGGCTCCCAACATATGCATCTATCTAATCAAATGTGTTAAAGTATAACCTTAAAATGAAAATATGCTGAATGTGTATTTATGGAGGCATATGCAACTCTGTGAAAACTGGCAGTTTACTCTTTTGACAGTGAATGTTGGCAGGAGTGGAAAGCTCTGTAGTGTACTATCTCAGTAATGTAAAAAGAGCTTGAATACAAGATGAATTTATTTCCTGTTTCTGGCCAATTAAAAAGCACATACATGATGTCCTGTCTTCTTCCAGTAACTATAAATAACAAGGCTTACTTGCTTACATGTTCTACTTCTCCAACTCTTTGTGTCTTTCTTTAAATTACACACAGTACCTGGACGGGAATGCTGTATTTCTTGGGCACAGCACCCCTAGCACAGTGTCTTCCCATCCACACTGGCCTGTGATACATAATCTCAGATTCCCTCCTAGCTCCCTAAAGAAATGGTTCCATAAAGCATGGTTCTTATTTATATTGCATTTTTTATCTCTCTTATTAGCATCTGACTCCCCAAAATAAGAAAAATTCTTGCATGCAGGCTTAGCCAGTTCTGAAAGTATGAAACTCTGTTTCAGTCCTGTGCATGCATTCATCCTTAATCACATGGCCATCTGGATTAACTAGGAGTGCAGTAACACGTGGAAGTAAACAAAGCCACATGTGCAAATATTTGCAAGATCATAGCTTTGGTTTTGTTTTGTTTTTTTTTTTTTTCTGCTCAGTGACAGCATCATTTTCCAGTCAGCTTTGCTTTATACTGTACCAATACCATGTCTGTTTTCTAACACGTACTGCTTACAAGAAGGCTCTGTCCCATTCTTGTGAAGTTGCTGGACCTTGGATACCCAAACCTGCTTTCTTGCAGGGCAGGACTGGAGCTGTGAGATACACCTGAACAGGAAAGTTTCAGCAATTAGGAAACTCCAGCTGAATACTGACTTGTGCTGCCTTGGCAAAAGGCATGGTAAGAACAAAACAACCCTCTGTCCTCTACCTTCACCTCTCGCAGCATTTCAGATCAAATTCTAGTTCTTGGTCTTTATCTTCAGGCTATACATGCCCAGTTTATCCAAAGGGTAAAATGAGTTCCTCCAGGAGACAAATACTCTCGGGTGTCTGTCTTGTCTATGGAATGAACTGCAGCGGCTGAAGGCAGTCCACATTTTTCCTTCAGGTTGCCTTTTGGGGTGTATACAGTCGATCAAAACTCTATGCACAGAATATAAAAGAAATCGCCCCCGATCATACACCTGCACAAATCTTACTGCAGTCAGACAACTACACTCACTTCTCCTGGGGGAGGAGGTGAAAGAAAAACAATTGACACTCGTTACTGGAGTACACCGAGATACTCTGGTGATCAGGGCATGTAAAACTGTCAGCTTTAATTCAGGGCCTTACTATAGGCCGTATATTTTTAGCCTGTCTCCTAAAGAAATGAGACTTGGACCATCTAATTGTGTATCAGTCCAATTCTTTTCCATACCTTCTCCCCTTCCTCTCTGACTCCTTCCCAGGAACTTAACCCAAGGAGAAGTTCAACAAAGTGATCCAGCTGGAGCGGGTTTTTTTTCAGTTGTTACATTCCTACAAGTTTCCTGAAGATCTGTTCCAAAGAAGGTGACAGAAATCTCTCCACCCATGTCCCCCTGTTAGGGAAAAAGCATACTGAATGAAGCTGCCGTGCATTTTGGCCAGCTGGCTGCTCCCAAGCAAACAGCAGAAGGGAAACTCTGTACTGGCTGTGACATTTAACATCTCTCATCCAGAAGGCATATCACAGCAAATATGCCAGGGGCTCACATTGCTGCAGTAGAAGGAGGTTTATGGGATAAAGGATACCAATACACTGGTAACCAGGCTCATTAATTTAGTTTCCCACAAAAGAGACTGTTTAGGTGGAGGCAAGTTCTTGAAACACATCACTGCAAAATTCAGACACTTAAACAAGTGGTCAGAAACCACACTTAAGCATGCAGATTTGATGAGTGTTTAGGTCTAGATGCATGTTGAAGCTTCTACTCTAAGAGGCAAGGCACCCAGCGCAGCAAGGTCTCTGTGGTGGTGAGGTTGTCACAGTGGATCTGTTGGCAAGGCTGAGTTCCAAGAGACTTTATTAATGCCCCCACTCCACTGAGTATCTACATTTCTGTGCAATTTAACTCACCTGCTTTCTGCCAAGGTTTACTGCCTGACTCCAACAAGCTGGGAGGGCTGGCCGACACTCCGGTGGGCTGCACCGCCATCCAGCGTGACCTGAACAGACTGGAGAGCTGGGCAGAGAAGAACCTCATGAGGTTCAACAGGGGCAAGTGTAGGGTCCTGCACCTGGGGAGGAAGAACCCCAGGCAACAATACAGGTTAGGGGTGGACCTTCTGGGAAGTTCTACTGAGGAGAAGGATCTGGGAGTCCTAGTGGATGGCAAATTTCCCAGGGCCAGCCATGTGCCCTTGTTGCCAAGAGGGCCAATGGAATCCTGGGCTGCATAGGGAAGAGTGTGGCCAGCAGGTCGAAGGACGTCATTCTCCCTCTCTGCTCTGCACTGGTGAGGCCACAACTGGAATACTGCATCCAGTTCGGGGCTCCCCAGTTCAAGAGGGACAGGGAACTACTGGGGAGAGTCCAACGTAGGGCAACCAAGATGATTAAGGGATTGGAGCACCTCCGTTACAAGGAAAGGCTGAGAGAGCTGGGGCTTTTTAGCCTGAAGAAGAGAAGGTTGAGGGGAGACCTTATCTATGTTTACAAGTACCTAAAGGGTGGTTTGAAGGAGGATGGAGCCGGGTTCTTTTCAGTGGTTTCCAGCAATAGGACGAGGGGCAATGGGCACAAGCTGGAACATGGGAAGTTCCATTCAAATATGAGGAAAAACTTCTTTAGGGTGAGGGTGACAGAGCCCTGGAACAGGCTGCCCAGGGAGGTTGTGGGGTCCCCTTCTCTGGAGATCTTCAAGACCCACCTGGATGCCGTCCTGAGTGACGTGCTCTGGGCAATCCTGCTTTAGCAGGGGAGTTAGACTAGATGATCTCTAGAGGTCCCTTCCAACTCTGACAATTCCGTGATTCTGTGGGCCCTCTCCTTTTATTTTAATACGGTGGTAGCACCCATATGCAGCTTCTGTTTCCACCTGGAAGAGCACCTGTGTCACTAGGGGTGAACGTGCAGCCAGGAGCAAAGATAGGTGGGGGATTTCTCCTTCACTGACCGGAAAGCAGAACAAAGGCAAACCCCCACATGATTAGGTTTCTAGCAAAATTTAAGTATATTGTGGTGTTTTAATGTGCAGTTGTGTGAAGAGGACACAGCAGTTTTACAAAAATACAGCAAAACAGTATCTCAGCCCTGCAACGTTCACTTATTTTTGAACAAAGCAAGCAGGGGTGCTTGAGGAAGGCCATGAAGTGGAGAGCTATAATTAAGCAAACAAAAACATTAGCCTCCAGGTTTCCCCGCGGTTATTCATTGCTATCTTAGGAACTCGGGGCTGTCATTTTAGATGTGGCTTTGACCGAGTTTCAGCGACTGGGACGTTTTTACTGACATGGGCATGAGCCTGGCAGGCAGAGAGGTCCAGCAGGCTTCCGAGGCGCTTTTTCCCTCATCACTCCGCTGGGAAACAGGTATTTCCAGCTTTTAACTTTTTCTTTTTTTTTTCCCTATGGGGGGAAACTGATGAATTGCTTTTCCCTGGTGTGGGGCTGGGTTTTCAATCCAGGCTCGGGTATCACGCCGTTCCCCTGAACACCGGGATTTACCGGCGGGGCGGGAAGGCAAGGGGGGACGGGGCAAGGGGAAGGGGGGGGTCCCCTCCACCCC